ACTCGAGGAATATAAGGAAAACCTAAGAAGAATTATACAACATTTGAAGGTTTAGAATTTCCCAATTCAATCATGCTTGTTTGTTGCTAAATTCTGACTGTGCTAAATTTTTCCTCCTAATTATGTTTGTCTATGGAAGATTTATCAAACAATAAAAATGGCAGGATCTGGAAGACATAAAGGGATAGAGTTAATGGTAACAATGGAAATAGTAGTAGTATTAAGCCAATGCAGCAAACAACAAGTGTTATATGCTATGAGGACTAAGTAAAAAACACAGAGTTACTCAATCTCACCATAAAAAGAAAAAAACTATAAAATGTATTGCTAGTTTTCCCACAAAATTAGATATAGAAGTATTGCAACAATTTTATGTCGTATGACCAGGATACTGAAGAGTCAAAATTGAGCCTCCGATGCTGAGCTATTATTTAAAGCTTGACATCTTATGAATAATATTTTTGAGGTCAGGTTAGTAATCATTTTTATCTCATCGCAATTTGGTTATTCGTGGAATAACTGAACTGAATGAACACTATAAAGACCTTAGTAACAGACTTCTGAAGCTTCACTACCGGCTGTGATTGTGAATTTCCTGTGTTAATCAAATAATTTACCACATACTAATATATTCTTGAAGGTTGATAGGGTCATCCGCCTCTTAGTTGTTCCTTTTCCTCTTCTTCTTCCCCCCTCTAGAAGAGGAACACCTATATTACATGGACTTACGTATGAGTAAGGATTCAGATATGACTTAGGCAGGAAATGTGCAATTTTTAGCATGTTTGTATTTTTTATTTTTTCAAGGTTCATACAAAGTACAGATATACATGTCAAACCTGTTTGACACAATTACATATTGGCAAAGTTAAGAGTCGGTGTAACATAGAGGAACACATATTCGTCAGTGTTTTTAAGAGCGAGAAGCGCAAAAAAGCGACAAGGGCTCGCCTCGCTTCAAAAGCGAAGCGCACGCTTTATTAAAGTGAAGCGCATTTCTTAAAAAACATAACATAAACCTTGCAAAGACACAATATAAAATTATAAATAATCAAAAAGTTCAATTTAAAAACTTAAAAGTAGGTACTAGGTACCACCAAATCCTCCACAAACCATAGGACAAGTAAAATCAAAGTTGCTAAATTACTAGAATCAACATCTTATTCTTCTACTCTTCTTGTTCTTCTTCAAGATTGTCAAAATCTTGAATTCCTCTATTATCTTCATATTGCTCGTCATCTTCTTCTTCCCCCTCCTCTTCCTCTTCATGATCACTTTCATCTTCATCAATTAGGGCTAGGGATCGACTTGTAGTAGCCACACTTTTTCCCTTCCTAATCGAGCTTGAACTTAAAGTATTCCCCCTTAAACCATAAGGATTCTCCCCAACTCCACTAGCAACCGCAACATCACCCCAAGTGAAATTAGAGTCGCCTTCAAATACTTCTTCATCTTCACAATTTTCGGGGACTCCGGTTAGCCACTCATTAGCCTCATCAATATTGTCCAAAAGAATTGGATCAATTAGATTGCGGTGGTTGTAGCGACGCCTCAATGCTCTATTGTATTTTATGAACATTAGATTATGGAGGCGCTTCAAGGTTAGTTGATTCCTCTTCTTTGTATGAATCTGCAAACAAGATGTGTCAACTAATTAGTAGGAGTTAGGACAATTGAGATATAATTCTTTATCTCAAAACACGAAATAATTCTTTTTATTTCTCACGTGTTCAAAAACGCTCCAGTTCCTTTCACATCCGGATGAGCTACAAGTTAAACTTAGAACTCTGATGGCGAAAGTCTGTAAATCCGGAGTTAACAAGTCGGAGTTTAAAAAGTCCCTCAGCTGCCTTGTAAATAGCAAGCTGATCTACTATCTTTTCTTGCAAGTCTTCATCTGGGGTAAACTTGATAACAACCTCATGGAATCTTGTCCACACTTCTCTAGCCAATGAATTATTCTCATGCTAATCATAAAAGAGTGACGGGTTCAGAATAAGTCCAGCTGCATGCAAAGGTCTATGAAGTTGCTCACTCCATCTTGCATCAATGATCTGAAAGACCTTTGCATATTTCTGCTCATCAGTGAATGATGCTTGAATAGCCTCCTTGGCCCTATCCATAGCTTCATAGAGGTAGCCCATTGGTGGTTTTTGCTCCCCATCCACCAAACGGAGTACTTTAACCAAAGGGCCACCAATTTTAAGAGCATGAAGGACATTATTCCAAAAAGAATAAGAAAGAATAATGCGTGCAACATCTTTCCCTGCACTTTCCTTTGCAAATTTACTCTTGCTCCATTCCTCTGAAGTGAACAACTTCCTCAAATTGGCTTTTTGCAAGTGGATACTATGCAAAGTCAAGAAAGCAGTGGCGAACCTTGTCTTGCCCGGTTTCACCAATTTTTTTTGTCTGGTGAATCTTCTCATCATATTCAATAACAAGGGCGGCTGAGAAATATAAGAATGTACCCTAACGCCCTGGCCAAAAACTGTAGAGAAGGGTTTTTCCTTGAAAATGTCCCCGAAGATTAAGTTGATACAATGAGCCGCACATGGAGTCCAATAGACATTCTTGTACGCTCCTTCCACCATGCCACCCGTTTTCACATTTTCACTCGCATTATTAATGACCACTTGAAAAACTTTGCTTGGGCCAATCTTTTCAATGGTGTTCTGAAACAAGGTGAACATTTTGATGTGGTCAGTGGATGAGTCGCTAGCATCAATGGACTCAAGAAACAAACTTCCCTTGAGAGAATTCACCAACACATTAATAATCATTATCCCAGTTCTTGCCGTCCACTTATCCATCATAATGGAGCAACCATACTTGTTCCACGCAAATTTATGTTCCTCCACAATTTTATTAGTCTCCTCCACTTCCTTATTTAGATAAGGACCTCTGATTTCATGATAAGTGAGAGGCTTCATTCCAAGTCCGTATTGACCAACGGCCTCAATAAAGTCTCCAAAAGTGTCAGTATAGTTGACACAATTGAAGGGGAGCCCAGCATCATAGACCCATCGTGCAAAAGCTCTAATTGCACGATCCTTCAAAATGTCCTTAGTAATGTTTTGTACATCTTTTCCACCGCTCTTTCCTTCCGGCTTCTTTGGGAAATAGCAATCTATAGGACCTTTAGTCCTACTCGTACCCGTCGATCCATGGCTTGAAGAGATTGCATCTCTTCCCCGTTTTGTTGGAAGTGACAATTCTTCAATATCATCATCACCATCATCATCAAGATTGGTCACCAATGGTTGATGACTCATTTGATTTTTTTGCTCCTTCTTCTTCTCAACAAAATTCTTTATTTCATCCCTCACCTCCGGTGGACATTTCGGACAACTTGTGACGTTTCTATCGCCACCAATAAGATGGAATTTAAAGCGATAAATTCCACCCGTTGTAATCTTGTTACAAAACTTGCATACAATATTTGTATTCTTCTCATTAACTCTATCGCCATATCGCCAAGCCGGGTCTTTATCTTTCGATCTTTGAGACATTTTGAAATCCCTATTAAGATATAAGAAAATACATAATCAAATAAACTGAAAATAC